GTTACGCTCAGGGTCGGAGTCAGGGCGCTCTAAGCCCTAGAGTAAAAATTAAAAAAAAAATATGTGAAATGTTTGCCTTTCTAATATGTGTACGTAAAATAAATCCGATGGAAGATGTAGCGTGTGCTATACAGTTTTGTTATAAAACTAGTAAGGGCGTTAATGCTTAACCTCATCTTAAAATGTTCCTCGCATAATGTCACATAATGTTAACACATTCGCGCGAGATACGTATATGTACTATGCCGCCCTAAACATTTTGTAAGTGATGTAGAACAACGTATTATGCGTTGTTTAATTACTTTTATTTCATCGAAGAACGTAAGAGAACGCTATTTGGCCATACAAAATCTTAATATTGACGTCATTATCCTAAAAAATATCAAAATATTGAATCTGTAACGACACGTAATATCGAAAATTCACAGGATAAAAGCACTACTCACACATACTGATTGTTGGCATACACGCGCAACGTCGTCGGCGGGCTTCTTTTTGGACGCGATGTTTATTTACGTCAGAACCATTATTTTTTACATTCATTTAATAACCTGTAGAATAAACGTATAAACGTTTGCATTAACGTACGAGAAGTATCTGCCACAGCGTATCAGTCGGAAAATGCACGATATTCGCGCGAATGCGTTAAAATCCCATGCAATTAATTACATTTTTTTTATTCAGATATTATATATAGATACTTAGATTAAAAATATTAATATTTTTTATGCGTGGCTAGTGGTAAATCCAGCCCTGATTAAGCTCCAGTGTGGCATGGGGACAATGTTTATAATGTAAGTAAGGAGTACCTTTAATTATCGCAATTACCTGGCACAAAATACACATAATACATTTCTTAGAATGCTCAATTAGCTGTAAAACTTATTACACTTACTTAAGATTTAGAGCTTTGATTTCGATTTGATTGGCAACAAAAACGCTTATTTCCATCATTAATAACTTACATGGCTATCTAAAATGGTTAATAATTAGCACTTGAGTGTAAATTTCTTTGCTCACGCTTTATGAGATAATATTAATGTACCCATACGTAGAAATAAATAACAGAATCTATTTTTGACATAGGCAATGCAAGAACGTTTGGTTTCATATCGATGGCGGTTTGAGATAATGATTGTAATCTGAGAAACAAAAGGTTGTGAAATAATCATCGATGAGTTTGATGTCATGGGCATGTTGGATATCGTTGATTGATTATTTGTGTGTGTCTTGTGTCTTTGTGTGTGACCTTTTGAGTAGGCGCAAAAAAACAAATTACTAGAAATAATTTTATATAGCAATATTATATGACACCTTTGGTCTAAAAATGATACCCGATATTGCCCTTGAAGAGTAAAAAAGGGGTTTCATCCAAAAACGTGGTACGAGGTTTCCAAATTTAGCCGACGATGTGCTCTTCAATTTAATGAAGTGTGCGAATTTGCCAATCCGCATTAGCCCCGCATTGTGAGGTATGTGCCCAGCAATGGCTATATATAAATTTAACTATTTGCTAGAGTGCTGTTGATTTTTTTATGATAACAGGTCACGGGACGAACAAGTCGTGCGCTTGGTGGTAAGCGACACGCCAATCCATGACAGTGGCAGTGCCATTCAGAGCTTTAAATACCAAAGATCTGAGGGGCACTGCCATTGCGCCCGTCAACCTGAGACATAAGTTGACAAATCCCATGTGCCTGTAATTTCACCAACGTTGAATGATTCAAACCAATGTGCTCTCCCGGCGTCCACAATTACGTTTACGGTAGCGATCTATTGTAAGGCATAAGTTCAAAACATTATGTTTGTACTAACGCGTTCGCCACCGCCGAGTTTGGCGTAACGTAACATAATTATGAGGAACTACTGACATGATCGCGGACGCGTCTGCAGCTGCACGCTTTTGGTTGACAAAGGTTTTCACGGAAATTAATTTCGTTTTGGTTAATTTACACATAATATAACCTATTTTAAAAGTATAAGTATATCAATGAAATATAAGTATATGTAAAAGTATTTCATAGATTTCTCACAGATGGCGCTAGGGCAAAAAAGTAGTTGTAGGACAAGGAGTGTTAAAGTACTTTAGATGTTGTAGAAGGGACATTTTGCTTCATAGAGGCAAATGGAGAATAAACAATGTGATGTTTAAATGTTTTAAACGTCATAAAAATCTCAAGAATTAAGAAATGGAAGACAAAACAGGTTTTCCTAGAATAAATTAATTATTAATGCAACCGACGTTTCGTGATTCTACGAGATATGCATGCGTATACGCAGCGGTCAAGGTCTTCGGCTTTCAGCTTCCCAGCTTAATAATATATGCGTCTGAGAATTGCCACACAAAACTGCTGCGTCAGATATATTGTAAAATTAACAGTGTTTGTGTGCATTGCGCAAGAGGTCCAGGTAATTCTTAAAAATCAATTTAGTAGAAGCTGAGCTTCTTGTGATATAGTTGGTCCAGGGAATAACTGCCGCCTTACCTATTTCTGCCGCCAAGCAGTAATGTGTGCATTACTGCGTTCCGGTTTTGCAGGGTAAGGGTGCTGGTGAAATTACAGGTACATGGGACTTGTCAACTTATGTCTCAGGGTGATAGGCGCATGGGAGTATCCCTCAGATCTTTGCGATTTAAAGCTTTGATAGGCACTTGCAACTGTTATGGACAAACGTTTAACTGCCTCCGTGGCCGAACGGTTACCATGCCGGACTGCCACGCAGAGGTCCCAGGTTCGATTCCCGGGCTGGGAGAAATATTTGTATGGCCTACATTTATTTCTCTCGTGAGTTTGGGTGTAATTTGTGGTTGTCTATGTGTGTGTCCATGGCACCCGCGACACAGGGTTTCCCTAGTGCGGGGCTATGTTGAGAGTGAGCGTTATTATAAACGTGTCTCTTAACACCAAGCGCGCGATTTGTTCGTCCCGTCACAAGATGCCTTAAAAAAAATCTATTCAATTTTACCAACAAATTTGTAATTTTCGATTATTATGAACATGTGAAAACGGTCTGTTTTCCTTTTTTTTTCTTAATTATCCAAGATCTATCTTTTGTGTGTTTGGTAATCTCACTCTAAATTAAGTTAAGAATGAGCTGATAAGACTGTGAAGATGTGCACTATGTAACGTTCATTAATAGACTAGGTAAACTCATTCATATACCTAAGAAACCAATCAGTCGCGATGCACCTAAGACGGAAAATTGCATCGTAGATTGGTCGTCACGCAGTTCACACATTTCTGGCATTTAGTTTCCGTTTGCGTAAGCGGGATTCCTTGATGCCTAAAGGCCCCCATGTACGGCACGATTTGTTTTCACGACCCGTCGATTCGGACATCAGTCCGAAACGTATATATATATATATATATACACATATATATATATATACGTTTATATATATATATATATATATATATATATATATAGTTACGCGATATTAGTTACTATTGATACAACAATTTAGTAGTTTGGTATTTACATGGTACAATTCCTAACGTACTTTTGTCAATAACGTGCTTAGAAATAAGACATCGTGGTTTTATTTAGTATGAAGATTATTTACTTTTTTGTTTTGTTTCACGTTACTTATATATAGTGATAATAATACTTTATACGTAGTACGGTTACTACCATTATTCATATAACTTAGCCAAGTTATGTTGTATGTACTTATTTTAATTTTACTAATTTTTATTTTAGATGGCAAAACGTCGAGTGAGGAAGGAGGGATTAAAACCGATACAACGCATTACTTAAAAACAGCAGTTTTGTCCTTAGGACGCGATTTGTTGAAAATTACTATGTTACAAGTTATTTCAGAAAATTTCTTAATATTGTATGCACTTGTTTGGTCAGAAGTGCCAATAACACCAGAACAATTGGTTATTTTGGTTTTCAGAAAGAGACTGATTTGATTTCATTGTAACAGCGTACAAAGTGCGTTTTTGCATTTTAATTTTAATAAATATTTACGGCATTTTAAATGTAGCAGACTTGTAGATTTATTCATATTTAAAACAAAATATACGCCCTATATTTAAAAACTACATTAGTTACATCAATAAAATGGACCAATATATTGGACTCCAGGTGAGTTACAGCAAAATCACTTCTCGAAACTTATGTGGTATTTTGTTGCGCCATATGTTACAATTTCTATATACAGCAAAATTGCTGCTTGGTTTTGAAAACGCAATTGCTGTAACTAGTATAAAATCCATGTTAAACCAACTTTAGAATATTTTCGTCAATACTATTTGATGGCTGTTCCGTTTATATACATCATACTTTAAAATTGACTTTCTACTAATTCAAATTAAAAAGAAATGATTTTTTGAAATAGTTTTTCGACCCTGGTGTAAAGTCCTATTTTTCGAGATACGATAAGATCGCTTTCCGGCGTCGATATATATATATATATATATTGCGATTTAAATATATCTAAGTACATACCAAAAAGTACAAGTAGCACAGAAAATATGATTCACTGTGTAGTCTATGTAAACATTTTATTCTGCCACAATAAGGTTATATACCTATTTAAGGTCCATTGCCGCACCCTTTTAACAATATTGGTCGCAAAAGTGATTACGAAACCAAACTTACATGTTGGTAGACACTTTTGTTACCCAGGTAGCCTTGTTCTTGTAAATACTTTAATCCGGGTTTATGTTTTTCGTTATTCCCTGCTGAGTTTTTAAATATTTAAATCGTCGAATACGTTGCTGTAACTATATGAGATGATTTGTTATTTGTTTCTTAATTTTACTCTCCGCAGAACCCTAATTTACACGTCGTTGTCATTAAGGCTTTAAATGTTACATTTGTATATATTCCCCGTCCAAATCATAATCTCATAAACGAATTAATTCTATTTTTTTCGAACATACCAGCTATCTTTATCTTAACCATCGCTATATTTTGTGGGGTTCTCGTTCTTGCGAGTAATTCCTTTTTTTAAATGATGGACGAATAGAACTTTGTCACCCTTCACACACCTTTGTGATCCTTCCACCCGGAGAGTATATCTTCTTCAAAGTATCAATGCAGTAAATCTAATCCTTTATATATGTCCCTTATTTGTCTCAATCTGGACTAATGGCGGACTGCGGGATTAATGAATTTTCTTTGACGCGGAATTTCTATGCGATCTAAAGCGCTTGTCATCGGGAACTGCCCCTAAAAGCGGAAAGAAACCTTTTAAAATAATCATACCCCAGATTTCTCTTGACAATATCTCTGCTTATGACAATGTTTTACTTTTGCTTCTCAAGAGCAACATGTAAAATCTAAGTATTCCCAAGCGGTTGACGCATATTGTATTATAAAGTAACATCATATCACGGGTTACCTCCATCTTCTTATATATCAAGTCTTTACCTATGAAATTGCCGTTGTATGTAGGAAAGTTGAAACCAATTTTTTTTTACAAAAAAGTATTTGAATAAAAGTTTGTTCATGTAAAAGTCAACAGCACGGGTATTGTGAGGTCTTGCAAAGCGTAATTCATTACCATGCTTTACCGAAAATTTTATCTTTCAAAAAGGTATACATATACAGAGGAAAACAATGAGTCTGTTGGGACAAGATTTTGGCAGTATGGCGGATGACAAAAAGTCTCTAACTTCAGTTTTTGCAATTTTACCAACGACTGTTGTGTAATATGAGTTGTCAGGCAGAAACAATGGCTGAAAAAGAAGTTTACCATTCTCAATTGTTTAACTGCAAGTTTCTACACAATTATTTCCAATTCTTGACAGTAACGGTCAGCGTTATTGCGACACCAAATGGCAAGAAGCTGTAGTGAATAACACCAGCGCTAGACTATTAAGCTTTAAGCGCTCAGGTTGTGGGATACCGATTTGTCAAGAGTCTAGGTTCGATTTTGCAAATTTGCTGCAAATGATCCATTATAATTGTGATAATAACGGCAAAAGCCGATGAAAACTCATTCGCGTTTGAGACGAATTCGCTTTCAATTGATCACTATCTCGACTTTTTTCAGGCGTCCATGTAGTTTGTTTGCGACATCAATAGTTCTAGAAGGAAAGCGGATAAAATAATAACGCACTGTTTGTTTGTTGGTAGCAGTGCCAGTTAACCGTGACCATGGGACCTGTACAGAGCCCGAAACGTTGACTTATTAGGAAACACAACTTTACGCGATTTAGATCCTAAAAATAGTTTAATTTCCAAAGTGCTGATCTCTGTTTCCGGCTGGTTAGAGAACGCCTGAAGACGTTTAAACTCTGCCTTATTTTGTCAGAACTGATGGTTTTCTAATAAAGCTCGTATTGGAGCACCCGAAATTAAAAATTGAAATTAAAAAAGAGACTTGTCGAATCAATTTTCACAAGAGAAATGGCTACTATTTTTGAAGCAATAGATTGCATCTTAAATCATAAACTAAAAAATAACGATTCCAAAGTTCCATTTTACGTTAGGCAAAATTACATTTTCACTTAAAGTCAAAAGAAGCCCTGTGTAAATGTCACAGTGAAGACATTACAGTTGCTCTGACATAGATCCCCAGTCAGGGTGGTATTACGGTAACGAGACTGCCAACTCTAGTGCGAAATTTGCTGTTACATCAGTATATATAGCTGTTACAAACTTATAATCTCGGTTCCAAACTTCCAATCCGTCTACGACTTGGGCATACTTGTATTTCGGTATTCCTGGTTAACTGCGAATTCGAGATCAATATTATTTTCATAAACTTGCCAAAGTATTATAGATCTCGATACGTACGTAACTAAAAACATTGAAATTTAGTTGAATTCGGAAAATAATATTTGACATTGAGTTTATTTTTTCAACACTAAGTCATTTCAGGTTGCGCGTTTTCTCCATTTGGTTTAGATCCTCAAAACAGTCAAAAACGTCTCCAGTGTGTACCAATTACCGATTGCGCAGAGTTTTATCATAACCTAGTTGGCAATAATGACCAATCCCAAGATGGCAAGTCAAGTTTTATAAAAAGCGAGATAAAGTAATTGTTGCAAAATTTCAACCAGTTTTTGTGAAATTGGAACTTTTGGCGTGTGTTTCGCGCATTTTTTGTTACAACGTTGCAATGCCAATTGTATACCTACACACTTACTACATTAGTTGGATTTAAGTATACTGTATGTTCGTCAGTTGTTATATTCCTGAAGATTAAAAGCCAGCAATCTAACAACCTTCTCGTATCTTGTGGTGTAAGTATATTATCACAGTGAGGGAAATGCAGAAATCTGTTTAGTGTAATGTTATTTTCTTCTGGCGTCTTCTTTGTGGATCTCACATCACTTTTTAGTGCGAATTGTCTTACGCAAAACCCCGCGGTTTAAATAATAGGATGAGAAATTAACCTGGGTTAATAGAAACAAAATGAGTTAATGCTCAATGGATATGTCATTTTTCAGTCTACTGTACATGAGTTTAGCAAGTGTTAATAGAAAAAGTCGAGTGACCGATGCATCGCTGCGATGTTGCAACTGCAAGTATGTGCAGTAACATATTTTAGATAGGAGTGTGAGTGGGTATTGCGATTTATTGTTAATATAAAAACTCTCCTTAAGTGATCGGCACAATGTCTTATACTTTAACGTATTTTAAGAATAGGAATAATACAATAATGGTGCACCGTGATAAACGCTTTTGTTTTAGAAAAAATAAATGTGTTATTGGCAGCACATATTCCGTTATCACAATGGATATAATCAAGTATTAAGAAAAATTACAATTCTTAATAAGAAAGAAGAAAGAAATGGAGCACAGAAACAAAATCTAATACATTCGAAGCTTCCACAGTGAATAATTAAAAAAATATTTTTAAATAAAAAAGATATTATGGAAAGGCCTTTGTTGTTGTTTAAGACGGTTTGGAATACAATCAATTCTAAAATTAGCTGAGTTAAAAATTTGTTGCAACATCATCGAAATGGAATGTTTTGGCGATTCGATACTTGTAATGATCGGCGATGGATAAATGTCAGATAGCACTATTAAGCATGTTACTGATATCGTAACATTGTTCAAAAGACTATACTTTCAATATTATCTCATCCACAAAGAGATCTCAGAGACAATATTGTCTAGTGTCAAGTTCCCAACGTAATTGGTTCGGTCAAATAAAATCTATTTAACGGATTTGTTTTTATTAACCAATTCTTATACGGGTTGTGTAAATCACTCAATATGTAATTAACGGATATTTTAAAAGTAATCGTGTTCAGTGTACGCATATAGAACTACCAATATAAACACTTTAATGCATACTTAACAGTGTTTGTATAGGTACTACTGAAAATTAAATGTAGAGAGCATAACTTGCGGTTGCCAATAATGTGACAAAATAACGCTTACATCAATAAAATAACGATTTCAACATCTATATTATAAATTATAAATTTTGGAATAACGAATGTGGTTTTCTGTTTCGGTTTCACAATACTATAGCTATACAAAGGGGGAACGCTGCCAGCATCTTCGGCACCCTCGCGGCGACCCAATTTTATTCATAGTATAATTCAATCTTAGTTAGTAATTTCTAGTTAAATACCAGCTTTTATTGTATCTGTCTAAATAAATAAATTAAATAATAGCAAAATTGAAAATACCACAACCAAATGTCCATATTCCACAAGCTGAGGATCGCATAAATGAGAACAAGCGAAAGATAAAAAGATTTTGTACGATTGACTAGACTACTTACTGGTTACCTCAGTTATATTATAATATAAACAAATAATTCAATGTATTAGTCAATTATTATAATTACGTACTTACATCAGTAACACACAAAACTTAAAAAAACAATCAAACACATAAATTTATTCAAAGGCAAATTTCACTCAATAATATTTTTAATTTTGATTATTATGTTCCGTACACGTCTTTTTTAAGTTTTAAACTTTTTTGAGTAATATATTGACGTGTTTCTTCCACGTTATTTACTATAGCATTTATTGCACGAGCACGGACCACGCGTAGCCCGAAGCATTGGGCGCGTGCGGTGCTCAGCGCGCACAATTTAAGGCTCAACGTTGAAATTGGCCTTGCATGCATGTGTTAACAGTACCTGTTTATGTATCTATTCCATATATATCTATTCATTATATGTCTGTAAAAAGAGGCACACTAGTTTCATTTAACTTGATATCGTAATTTCACCCATACACGGTTTATATTTTATATAAAAGCCATTACTAAAGAAAAAGCGAAACGTAATAACCTCAGTTTAAATAACACAACCAAACGTGATCATAACAATAGAATTCAGTAATGTTTAAGATGGTAAAAACGTTTCTCCTGAAAAGATAGTATTATTAGAAATAAGAGGTACAGACAGCCGAAAGCTGTAACTGTCCCTATCGTATACTTAGTGGGAGTGAAGGAGGATCAAGTTGATTGCATTTATAGAGTTGGAATACTAGACACATCGGTACTAGAGTTGTAACGGGAATGAAATCGGTATTGGTAATCGTAAAAATAGTTTTGTAGTTAGTAGCTCGTATTTGTATTTCATTGGCATTTGCCAATGCCAGCATTAGATTACGCAAAATGTACTTCGATCGCCAGAAAAAATAAACGTTTTTAGAACTGTGTGAGAATGTTAGATCATGCACTTGTTTTAACAGAAAACTGTTTGAAGCTTAATCTTTCTGAAGAAACATTGTTGGCTTAAATTTCCCACTAAACGGAATTCTTCAGTTTTATAAAATAAATTAATATCTATAATGTTTCATATATAAGATATTGTGTCTAATATACTAATACTAGCCTTATTGTAGTGACAAATTAATTAATTTTATAATTTCGCAATATTAATGTCAAGATTTTTTCATATAGGGTAAAATATTGCAGACTAAGTTTTTTTTGTAAACAATTCAAAGGCCAAATCTTTGTGAAAGCAGGAGGTTTGTATATACTTTCTTAATCCGAAAAGTTTCGAGGTGCTTTTGAAATGAATTTACGAAACAGAAAAAGTCGAAGTTGCTTGACCTACTTTCAATAGAGAAAGCCTAGTGCACTTTTAAAACAAATTATCGTGAAAATATCCTGAGTCCGAATGGCCTAGAACTAAGTAGGTTAATGGCTGATGTCCTGCCACGTTAAATTATTGCGATTATTTACCATTGTAGTCATAAGCATCGTCAATCTTAGCCAAACCTTTGGGATTTTGATGTTAACGACATAGTTTAGTATTGTAGATGATGCGTATTCTGTTCAAGGTGTTATTTGAAATTTGATTATTTTAATTTGTATTGTAGGTATTCAATATGGAAATAAGTTTAATAAGTTTTAGGAAAAATGGTCGAGAGACTCCTAGCGTATCTTCGGTGAAAATGATCTGGATTGACGAGGATGTGCGAGACGTGAATTGGAATATTTATTGATGTAATATTGAACATGATCACATGATGCATCGCGTGTGCTCACACGGGTTCATTTAATATCAATCGCGAGATTGTATACGCAACAGTCAAGAGCACGTCAAACTTGACACTTTATACTTTGGACGGTTGTTATCGTTATTATATGAGTTGCATTTAAGTCTTAAGTGTCAAGCTTGACATGCTTGACCCTGTACGAACTAAGATTTAAAAAATTATGGCTTTTCTGCAAATAATTGCAGAGTACCCTGCAGTAAAATTTTCGGAATTTGTCAACGAATTACTCTATTGGTATTTCAATAACTATGTTTATTTTACTATTTACAACCACAGCGCGAGCTTGCGATAGCTGTTAGTGGCATCTTTTATATATTTTTAACCGACTTCAAAAAAAGAAGGAGGTTTTTAATTCGACTGTATGTTTTTTTATGTATGTTACGCGATGACTCGTGAACCTATGAACTGGTGAATCGTTGTGAACCGATTTTGATGACTCTTTTTTGTTGGAAAGAGGGTACCTCAGCATTCGTCCGATTTAAATTTGAAGAAAATATTCCACCTCTAAGGGTGGCAAACTAGGGAATGAATCCGGTTTCGCGCAGTTTCCGGTAACAGATTTCAATAAAACTTGGCAAATAGATGTAATTATTTTATTACTATAATAGCTTTATTTACATTTGTTTTACCTACTTGTATTGTATTAGGTATATTGTGTGGTATATATATTGTATTAATTCCACGAATTTTTGAAGTGGGTTTTTTAGTACTCTGTACTGAGATTATTATAATACTTGACGCGTATAAGCAGCAGAGTTTAGGCGAGTTTCTTTTCGTTGTTCTCAGAACCACTTTGTACTGGCGTTTGAAGTTGTTGAGTTCGATGACCTTTGAGAACTCAAATTTGAAGTTGTGTTTGTTCTGAATTTTCTGACTCGGCAAGTCATTACGCAGCCCTGTTCAATACCATGCCCTAATCACCACCTTTGGCCTACAACTCGACATCAATTTTCACTGTATTTATTACACCCGTGGAGTTACATAATGATTATAATTTACGCAGAAAATACTGCGACAGAGACCTTGACATGCAAACAGGGTGAGGTGAACGTAATAACCATCTCTGCTCTTGGTACATATGCAACCGCTAACAAAAACAACACTGAACTGTATTTTCTGATTTATTGACAGGTCGTTAGTAAGTTATGCATACAATATAATAAGCATTTCAATCGAAAAACTGTTAATAACAATAGATTTTGTCTAGAAATAAAAATGAAAACAGAAAAAGCTCGTCAAATGATGACATATATCGCCCTTTCTATAAAATACCGACTATATGTTACCATAGCAGCGACATGATTGTACGTAATAGAAGTATTTATAAGATCGTGCCTACAATTATACATTTCAATAATGACACAGCAAAAATCTGATATTCGCGTGATATATGCCTTCGCCTTGGTGACTTGTAAATTTTACTTTAATTTAAAAATTTAGTTATCTAACAAAGTTCAGGCAATTAGCTCATGGACACTATTTTATGGCAATCACATTTTGGTTTATAAATATATAACACGTTGTCTTTACATACTTATTACAAGTATAGTATCTATTTATGTATATACCAAATTTAACACAGAGCTATTGATAATAATATTGGTCGAATTACCTAATATTTGTCTACCTAATGACTTACGTAAATTCATTCCGTTAATCCGACCATTCTACCTGTAAGTATATATAATCTAGTTGTGCATATTCTTAACACTGTGCAAATTGCTTATTACCTCATTACAAACTTACACACTTAAATTTGTATTCGATAACATTTCATTTCTAAGAAAAGTAGCCAAATAAATGTAAATACTATTAGTTATAAAGCTTTTTGACTGCGATAAAACAAAAATTTTGAAGTTTCTAATATTTTGATAAAATTATGAATGTTGCAAAGTACACCCTAGGTTACTTACGTTGGCCCTTGTATGATAGCCACGTCTACGTACTGGCTTATATGCCATGTTTTCTATGTTATTTCAAAATTTCACCTAATGGACGCACATAGGACATAGCACTGTTTAAAAAAAAAAAAACTAAAAACTACTGTTTCGAAGCCGGCACTACATTGCACTATCCACTCGAATCACGTTTTAAAATCTGAGTGGTATGTCCAAGAATAGTTTCATGCGCTCGCCGATGTCGATGACCGAACGTTCGTCAAGCTGATGTTAGCTATCGGTCTCGGTCGCCTCCTCGTCGATGTCGTCTTCGTCCAGCGGCTGGCTGGTGAGTACAGCGAAAAGAGGCGAGCGCGAGCCAAGCTGCGCCGAGCCCCGCCGCTAGCTGTCCCGAATACACCCCGTCGCAGCCGCTGCTGTGCCCATGACTCCAGCAGCACCGAGCAATATGGCACCTACTTCCCGATCAGGAGTTACTTCCACCTGAAAATATGGATAAATATGTATGTGGGTTTATAATACATAAGTAGGGTGTGCCAAGATTTGAGCTCTATCTAAAAGCCAAATTTTTATACAAATAGCTTTATGCGAATCCGAATACGGTTTCCCTTTCAATTTTCTTTCAATCAGGTATACCTTTTAAGCAGATCACGTAAGTGTGTATTAGTGGCGAAGGGTTGGTGTAAAGCGACCTACTATATGTATATCTACCTAAGAAGGGTGTAGTTACATGAACTGGATTTCCAATGCAGCTCTCATACGAACAGTTCGCTGCATCGCAGCTGTAGAATAGTAATAGAATGCTGCCGGTAAGCAGATTGGATACAGTCGCCGCGATTGCCTTATAACTGTCGGCTGGTGTGCAGCCTGTGTTTGAATAAGTGTTTTGCAGCATTTTCAGTTAAGTGTTTTGATTCGAGCAAACTAAACCAGTAAAATCATCTAATCATTTTTTTACAATACCAATAATTCCTATCAAACACGATTTTTCTTGTTCATCTGGTCGAAGTTCAGGTTTACTCAAGATTATGTGTTATGGAAACAGCGAATCGTTTCTGCTGTTTCCGACTTTCTCCATAGCTGATTTATAACCAAAGCTTTGTTTTTGTGGGAAAATCTTAAGGAATAAAGGTCGGCCGGATTATTTAAGCACTGTTCTCATGTGCTCATTTTATGGCACTCTCGATTCTGTACTGTTGTTCGTCTTTTTTTTAACTTAAGTAGTTAAGTAGTCTTACTTATTTGTCTTTGTGTATGTTTTTATTTCAGTTTCAACTTATCATTTAAAATGCACAGTGAAAGTTTCTGTCAATTTCCAAAACAATAATTGTTATCAAGTAATCGAAAATTTTGTGAGATTATGACAAATTTAAAGTCAGGACTAAATATTTCAAATTAATTGTATTAAAAAATAAATAGTAGATACTGTTATCTTACTTGTGAAACTGTAGTCTGTTCAGGGTCTGATCGTTCTTCCAGTACAGTATCCAGTTCCAGAGATGGTAGAGGTCTCGGGGACCGCACTAAGCTGACAGTTCTTTGTTTCGTTTTTACTGGAGACAGGCGAACTACTGATAACTCGCCACGGTCCAACTCGCAATTTCGCCTTCTGTCGCGTTCTCTATATAAAAATTCAAATATATTTAGTAATAAAAGAGAACATAAAAGCTAAAATAAAATGCTTAGGTCGCCGTTGTTTGGAGCCAATACGGTCCATAACTTATACCTCCAAACAATTTATAGCGAAACAGAATATCCAGCAAACATTAAGTATTCCAATTTTCACTGTAGGCAACAGCTGACTTGTTGGCAATCATGTTTCTTGTAATGGAAAGTGGTAATCGCCGCATATAGTGATTTTCATGTAATAAAATTGAAAAACTCAGCATCGGAAATTTTACGACTTTACACTATTTTGTTTTTTTTTGCATAATATACAGCTCCAGAATTTTTACTGGCATGATGTGACTGTAAAAAGAAAGGTTTCCCAGATGACATGAGTATCTTGGTATAAGTTGTAATAAGTGCCATGATAAAGCATGTTACTGAATAAAGGCTAAACAGCGCTATTGTGTATTGTAGGTCATTATTTAATAGCTATAAATACGTGTTAATCCATATGTGCACATTAAACACGTTTATTTTGATCGTCGTTTTATATATTACTAAAGGCATAGCAAACCATGATATCGTTAATCAGTCAGAACTCAGAACACATGGCGTGACATATATTTAAATTTAAATGAAAAAAGTTATATTTCATAAAACGGAGCAGCTTGTGCAGAAGAGATTCGTATTAAGATATTTGCGAACACACATAAACAGCACCTGGTTATCTAATAAATCATCTGTAGCTTCATAATATATAGCATTTCACCCTTCTTTTTACGTCAATGAAAATAGTGTAGGTGTGGTTATCCGAGCTGACTTTGTATCATATTAATGAGTCTGTGAAGTAAATTGTGCTCGGATAAGCGAGATATGGTAATGTATGGACGTGTGTTGGTTACCTGGCCAATTTGGCTCTCCGCCTAAGGCAACAGATGACCGTTAATGCCAGTAGGGGGAACCCGAAAATGCAGGACACTATCGGCACTACTATTGACTCGGGGCTTACTGTAACAAAACATTTATTTCGATTAAATATGCTACACCTATGTACGTGCACTAAGTTTGAAGATTTAACACATTCAAATAAGATGCAAATTCGTTTATAAGTACATAACTACATAAGCAGAACGTTCCGAATTTCATAATATTAATAACAGCACCGTGAATCAAGATAACAGTCAGAACATACATATGTATTGTGATGTGTATTACGTACACACATTATTCATTTCATTGGTAGGTGTAGTTAACTATATCTTCGACATAAATGATCATGCCCAATCTTTTGTTTCTTGAATTTATTTTATCCACGTTTTTTTATTTCCGATATCGGGTATTGCATTTAAAAAGGGCGAAAATACAATTATGCAATAGTAAAAATTTTACTAAAATTTAGTTATAACAATTTCTTAAGTTTTCGCCATTATTGGGCATTTAAGTTAAACTAGATATATTTTTCTATGCATCTAAATCACGAAACGTTGGTTTGTTTGAAAAAAAAAACAAATGTAATAAGTACGCGATTATAATTCGATTTAAATCCTAAAAAAAATTTTAATTTCCTAAAATTAAGTCAATTTTAACAATAATAATATTGGTGAAAATTTCTATTTTAATTAATATTGGTATTATTAGTAAAACGTGAGAATATTTCTTTATAGCTGAACTGTAGTAGACAGAAAATGTTTTTTCTTTGTTGTAGCCTGTACAATAATATACAAAACAAAATGGGTAAGGCGTGCCCCATTTATGTAATGATATATGCTTTCAGATCGACAGGGTTATTGATGTTTTTGGTCTTTTCTAAAATCCTCATACGTTATTTTTCCTTTGACTTGCAAAACGTCATGAGTACGTTAAATAATAAATATCATCTGAATAAACTTAAAAAGGGTTGACCGATTTAAATTCGAATGAAACTGAATGCTATATCGTGTAGCCAGATGAAAACATCTATGCGAAAACATTGAGAAAGCGAATGTCTGAAAAGTAATTTTTAACTTCATTTTCAAGCACCTTTTCTTTGTAGTCTTTATAATAATTTTCATAGTTTCATTTCAGAATTTAAAAGAATAGCAAAAACTTAACTGACATTATATTAAATTTCTGCTAAAGGTACACTGAGCAAATAATGCAAACAAGTAAACAGTCTCAGTAGGAACTTTTACACTGTTTTGTCAGTTACTATTAGATATGACTTGAGTGGATAATTTATGAAGGGAATATACTTTCGTCCCGTACCTATGTCGTCGGGGATAGCGCAAATTCGCGTATGTAGTATTGGTAAAAGGTCTGCACTAAATCAAATTTTACAGGAAAGGGATTTAACGTTATTACTTTGTTATTGAAATACTACTACGACTTTCATTTTTGCACAGTAAGCATTAATTAATGTTGCCTGCCAACTGATAACAATAGATTCCCTTAACTCACGTTAATTTGGTTGCCACTGACTTTACGCGGATTTGATTTGGCCACTAAATTACCAAAACGGAAACTCATAATCCAATGCTAGTTACGCGTAATTGCACTATCCCCGACGATATGCCGTTGCAATGCTTGCTCATAATGTCATAATAGATGAGACAGTAGTTGCTTTCGCCTGTTCGACGTTACAATGCCTACACGTTACGCGGAGCCTAGGGTTTTAACTTTAGTTGTAACCACGAGCTGCAAAATTTAATTTGGTAAAACTAAGGTATTCGTTACAGTATTCTCATGCTTTATATGAAATGCATAACTGAAATATTGATATCATTATACCAGCATCGCGGATTAGTATCTCGATTATGGGAGTATGATCATGTAATATATTATTGTTTAATTGTGCAATGTAAACTAGTGTAATTTTAGTTATTGTGTTCTGTATTTAGGTCTGCAGGAAGAAATTCTTTTAGAAATAAGCAGAACCTGTTGTTAGTGTTATAATTGTTTTAATGTGATTTTCCTGTACAATAAACGAATAAAATATTCATTGCTATTCATAATGATACATTTATAATTAAAAAAAAATTATAAATTTGACATATGAATGAATGCCTCGTGTGACCGTGCGTTGCAACTCGAGAGCACAGCTAGATTACGCGAATACTGTCCGTATACAGTGCGCGGCGGGCGGGCGCCCACAGAAACAAGTAGAGAGGTAAGAAGTAAGTAATTATATATTTTATAAGTAAGTGTGCAAAAAAAAAAACTTCCACCTGATGGAAAGCGATGATGGGGTGGACGATGTAGCAAGCACACTTAAACAGTAAGAAATGTACACTCATGTAATGCGAGTAATATCACAATTGTGATATCACACGATGGTATAATGTGACATCACTTTGAAAATTGAGCATCACTCATAATATCATCCGACACAATACCGTTTTTTATTGATGCACGATATTATTTATTTTAGGTACAATAAAGTTTACACAAATTCTTGTAATAGTGAATAATCTATATTGCTTTGTTTGCGTTATTTAAAATATTTGTAATTGTCCCTTTACACTGCGTTAATAAATATATCTGCTCTGGTTTACGCGTATCGGTCGCAGTAATGTTTGAAACAGTGATGTGCTGTATGTAGTATCTGCTCCGACAAGTAATAGCGTATTGGTATTTGATATATATTCCAAAATTTCTCTAGATCATCATACCACTTAAATAAAACCTATATCCTTGGCATACAGACGAGCAATATTTTCCATTTAGATTAAGAAAACCAACACAAGACGCACGACTACTTATTTTTGCAATGTGCAATATCCATCCACTAATTCTTTATTTATTGAAACGCGTCGTACATGAAAGCGACATAAATAATAGACACTTTAGCGGTGATCAATATCTAGGTACTCGTAAAGTAATTACCAGATTATTTGGATATATTATTAGATGATACTTCATCCCAGTAAGAAATAATTACGTGAACTGAAAACAATAGAAAATATATTAAAATTTTACTACTTAGCTCGGATTTTTAAAAAAATAACACAATGCTTCACAATATATACCCTTCGTATTTTTTGTTTTTATTTAATCTTATATATAATGATAATATTATTATGTAGCTAAACAAGTGCTTATAACACATTATTTTAATTTTTAGTCGGTGTGATGCGAGTGATGGTGATATCACACTGTAATGCAACGTGATTACTATCACGGCATAGCACATAGCACGGAGTAATACACACATTACATTTTTAGTTTGTGTGATGCAAGTGATGTAATATCTGAACTGCCTCCTTGGCCGAACAGTTACTGCCACGCAGAGGTCTTGCGGTCGATTCCCGGGCTGGGCGAAATGTTTGTATGGCCTACGTTTATTTCTCACGAGAGTTTGTATGTAATTTGTGGTTGTCTATGTGTGTGTCCATGACACTCGCGATACTGGGTTTTTCTAGTGCGGAGCTAGTCTATGTGCGTGCGTTAAAAAAATCACACTGTAATGCAATGTGATGGTAATAGCAAAGCAAGCACGGAGTGGTAAGATAATGCTTATAACGCATCTCATTTTTAGTCTGTGTGATCGGGGTGATGGTGATATCACACTGTAATATTACTTTTACAGGGAATGTAATGTAATATTTCGAGGCACTGTTTTGCGCATGTCTACAAACAAACTACGTTGCTACGTTTGTATCGTATTACACTAATGGTCTTATTACACTATGGCGGTGTGGTTGCTGTTCATAACTAATAGGGTTTGGTCAATAGTGGGCGCGTGTACTGAATTTCTCATGTGTGTTTGTGTTTTTACCGGTGGGGTATATGACGATGGGCGTGGGCCGCTTACTCCCGTTGGCAGCGGGTTTGGCGACATTAGCAACGCCAGAGGGGGTGGTGGTAGGCGCCGCAGTGCTGCTGCTCGTCGTCAACCTTTCCAGCAGTCCCATAGGGTCCGTCGTAATACTGCGCGTCATCTTCGCCGCTCTGTAGGCAAAAGGATTTTATATAGATTCATTTAATGGATCCGATGAGGTGAATGCATAGGTAATTCAAACAGGAAATAAAAATGTTTTTAAACAATTACAGGCACACAGGCATATTACTCTACTAACAGAAATAATGTTTTAATATAAATTGGAAACAATAAGATTTTGTTTTACATTCCAATCTTTTAAACAAATAAAATGTTTTATGTGTTATGTATCGATATACAAAAGACTGGAGTAAAAATGGAAAAATCAATGAGATATGAAGGGGATCTACATAATTATATGTCTGTGGGATCTACCGTAAATGTTTAAGATAACTAATTTTAATTGAGGGAAACATTCTTTTATTTTTCTTGGTATGAATAACTGCATTTACATTTAAAAAAAAGTTTATTCACTATTAAAATTGAGTTGTCAAAAATAAACAGGCTGGGTAATGTTATTAGAGTCGATGTTACACTAATAAGATTTCACGGACGACTGTAATTAAACTTATTATTGATCCTATCGATTAGTATAATAAAATAGGGAGTATTTATTTTATGCATTTACAGTTGGAGGTTCGATTCCCGTTAAGGTAAGATTATCAAAAACTGTTCATCTCGTTATTCATATTAAGAAAGATAAAAGAGTGATTACTTTCAGTAAAATTTGATATAATTTAGGGTAGTTTCCCTTCATGTCCCATTAATTTTTTTCAGCCTGTATAGCCTGAAAAACATTTATCATCTAGCAGTTTGACATGTATGCAAATTTGTCACACCTGACTACATTCGTATGTTGGGTAGCAGCATCATAATATATTGAAGAAAGTGATGCGTGTACCGGGACACTCATATAAAAGAATATTATGTAACATAATATGCTATTAGGGATTTGTTGGTCGCGCTGTGCAAGGGCATTAGGGGCATTTTAGGAGTATGACAGAATATTGCTCATTTATCACATACACATAACGTGTATTTTTCCTTAAGCTTTATCTCGTGGTTTTTGATAAGAAATACGAGCTACGTATTTCTTTTGTGAATACCGAAATTATCTTTTCTGAACGACTGCCGTACTTTCATTGGTTATTTTTTGCGTTTACATATTACCACTCAAGATTATTAATATTTTTTTGCGTTAATTAATTACTTTAATTTTTTAATTTTTTTTTATTAATTACATTCAGTATCATTAATTAATTACATTCAGAACCTCCTCCTTTTTTGAAGACGGTTAAAACCGACTTCAAAAAAGGAGGAGGTTATGAATTCGACTGTATGTTTTTTTGTATGTATGTTACGCGATAACTCCGGTATTTGTGAACTGATTTTCATGATTATTTTTTGTTGGAAAGAGGGTAACTCTATAGTGGTCCCATTTAATTTTGAAGAAAATCATCCACCTCTAGGGGTAGCTGATCACGCATGAAGATTCATTTTTATAAATAGCGCCTAAATTTTATTATAAGGAGCAATTATTTTAATGGTTGATTTTGCTATTCACCAGTTCAAGGCGTTTTTCTCTCAATAAACTTTGAGTAGTAAGAACCGATTTTTATTATCGCTTGTGTCAAGTCCTGTATACTGGCGAACTAGGGGATGAATCCGTAATATTAAATATCCGTAATATAAAGTAAAATTGGTAATTATATGTAATTCCACGTACTTTTGAGGTCGGTTTTTTTAGTACTCTGTACTGATATTATTATTCATATTTTGATTTACTAGCCACATGCCTAAAGTCTATAAAGTGTCGTTATGAATTATAAGTAGGAATGGAATAAGTACATACTTACGGTACTGTCTCGTAAACCGAAAACTGAATGCAATGATCTATAACAGATACATTGAAGAAATTCGTCGACTTGATAACTAGACCTCTTAGTTGGTAAATGCAATAGGGACAGAATCTTGTGGTCGCAGGTTCGAGTCCTCTTGTTAAAAAGTTAATTGTCTACATCGACCCTGCCGGGGATCGAACCCGGGATCTCGGAGATGGCGACACCATGAAAACAGAGTTTGTCCTGGGAAGTGCTGATACTTTGCCTATTTCTGCCGTCAAGCAGTAATGTGAGCATTACTGTGTTTCGGTTTTGATGGATAAGGGTGGTTGTCTATTTGTAATCCTATTTGCCTGTCATTTACAGGCAAATAGGACTTGTTAACTTATGTCTCAGCGCCCAGTTAGTCACGCTTTTATCGTACGTCAATGGCGAATCTGAATTCTATTTACTAGGCAATCACATTTAAATTCCTTGAAATAATACAATTGCGTGGTCGCAAGAATGAATAAACGCCCTTAGAGTGACGGGCGCAGTAACAGTGGCCCTTAGATCTTTGTGTCTTAAGCTCTAACTGACACTTCAATTGTTATGGACAGACGTGTCGTTTACTACCAGACGTACGACTTGTTCGTGCCAACACTTGGTATCATAAAAAAAATCAATACTGGTCATATTCAAAATGATAATGGAAGCATATTTAAAGTAATATCTAGTTGACAGATAATTTAAGTTTTCCCTTTCTCGATTAGGTATTTCAGTTAATTTTTTATTTTTAGGTCTTTACCGTTCTTATTTCTTGTAATAAATAAGTCATGTATTCCAATTTGATAGCAACCTTAAGCAGAATTGATAAAATATTGCTTTGCCAATTCTTGTCGTGAGGCGTCAGGCGTAACCTTAACGATTCCAATAGTCTTGAATAAACGACGTTTCAGTATAAACCGTTACATCGAATCTAATGAACACTTCAAAAGTTTTTGTTAGCCAATGTGGAATGTTTTACAATGTCTACAAAAACGGTAGTCTTATTTATAGCTCTTTACTTTCTCATTAAACATTTTATCAGTACTTCAGCTATGTACTTTACGAAAATACGTCACCTTTGTGTTCCACGTTTCTAATCATTACTTCAACGCGTTTTTCATTTATCCATTATGTGGAGTCATTTCACAGACACTTCACAGTCTGTCTCTTTCTCACCTTATCCTCCGTCACTACTTTGGAAGCTAAACTTTTGTTACAACGAAAAGCAATTTTGTATTTGAGCCCACTTTTGCCAATATTAATTTTATCTGTTTGTCGGTCGGATTGATTCAGAAGTTCGTTTTTGTTTTCGTTTCAGTGTGACGTATAACGCATCTGTCGACACGATTGCCTATTTTTGTATATGACGTGATTTAATATTAAAAAATAGCTGTGTTTTATTTATAGCTGGAAGTAAACACGCTGTTTCCGCTGTTGTGCTTAATTTATACGAGCGGAATATTTGCGCGACTGTACTGTACTGTACGACATACCTAATGTGTTTGTGACCCTCATTAAATCTGTTTTTGGACACATTGGCAGAATAACGACGCATATGTGTCGAGGCCTAATTGTTCATTTTAAAATACAAATCGTACACGTCGACTATAATAAGGTTTTCAAGCAATTACAATTTTGTAGTAGTGAAACAGAATTTATATTATCGATTTCTAAATAATAGTTGCGTTATCGACTAATGTTTCGATACTGTAATCGGAAAAAAATATTGAAATTGATTGATTGAATTGATTATCAGTTAATTTGAATCCTGTTTACTGTAAAATACGTTAAGGTATTTTGTACGATTTAACGAACAATAAGTATTTGTATGGTATGTATTATATACCATGTTCCAAGTTATAATACTATTTTTTATAATATCATAATTAAATTCTTTAAAACACTCTTCAAATTCACAGACTCAATAAATTCGAAAGTTAAAATAGAATGAGTACTTGACTATTAATGATTACAATTAATAGTCAAGTACTTATTTTATGATATGATTACGATGAAACAGAACAAATGTTAAAATAGTTTATTTTACGTCACTCGCAAATTAAATTGTCTACATAGCGCGCACTATAAGTTTCCGGAACTGGCCACTTACATAAACAATATTGAAAAAGTAATTACAACATTAGAAAATGGAACTCTTTGGCTGTAGAATTCAGTTTGTTTCATCTGACTGTCACTTGCTTTTACATTGTGGCGTCATTTTAGAAATTGGTTGTCTACATCACCATGGATTTAACTCGTGAAAATTTTCGTAGTATGAGTTTCTACGACTTTAAGTGTAATTTAACAGCTCAGCGGAGTTTAGTGTTTAGTTTAGTGAAGCACCATGCAAGACGACTATTTATAGCTGGTTTGCAGAATTCAAACGCGGTCGTGTGAATCTCAGCGACGAATTTTGTGATGGTCGTCCGTCCACTGCTGTGAACAATAAAAACATCGATGCTGTGTGCCATATCATCAACACAGACAGGCATGTGATATACCATGAGATTAGGGCATCTTTAGGCATAGTCATGAGTCAAATACAATCAATACTACACAAACATTTGGGTGTGAAAAAGCTATGCTCTCGGTGGATACCAAATAATTTGACTGAGGCTCAAAAAACGGAACGCGTCACTTGTTACAATGCCATGCTTACCAGATTCAACGAAGGGGCGTCAAATTTGGTATGAGACATAGTAACAGGTAACGAAACATGGATTTATAGTTACGATCCCAAAACAAATCAACAATCGAGCATATGGGTTTTTCGAGATGAGCCAAAACCAAACAAAGTGGCGCGCGTGCAAAGTGCCTATAAGCGGATGATTCCCTCTTTTTTTAATAAAACTGGACACGTAGCTACTGTTGCTTTGGAGAATCATTGTACCGTGAATAGTGATTGGTACAAGACTATTTGTCTGCTGGAAGTTATTGACAAACTCCGTAAAAATAACCGTAAACGCCGTATCATCTTGCACCACGATTATGCCAGTTCTCGCACGGCCATACAGAGAAATGAATTTTTGAAGGTGAACAACCTTGACCTTATAAGTCATCCCGCGTACAGTCCCGACCTGGCACCTTGTGACTTTTGTTTTTTCTAAAAATTAAAAACCAGTTATGTGGTCAACGATTTTCACCACCTGAAGAGGCTGTCGAATGGTATGAAAAATATGTTTCAGAGATTATCACGGGAAAAT